CATGAGAAAAACAGAAGATGCATTCGACGGAGGTTACCTATCTAACTCAGATGCAAGGTGTTCATATTATGTTGCTGAGGCAAGTAGTCTCAGATCCACTCTATACCTGCAAATTCTGCAGCAAGCAGCTGAGTGCCTGTTGAGCCAAGTTCATCTGGAGGAAGACGCCCTGTTGGGGAACTTGAGTCTAGGAGACTATGATGAGGATATGGTGGTCCCTTATGATAGAATGGAGCGGGACGCACTACGGGGGGGGGGGGGAGCTGACTCAAGAACTAATGAAGGTAAGGGCATGTTTGGGGGTAATTGAAGAACTTCAATTTGAGGGCATCATAAATCTGGAATGTGCAAATGTGAGCTTCAATAAGCTCATAATTCGCGAGAACAAGATTTGGACCTTCCTACAACTAATTCCAATGACAAGCGATAAACTTGACCAGTAATTTATTCTCCTTGTGCATTCGCTCAACTCCATTTGCTTATAAAGAAAAAGTCATTGGTCATATAGCAAGGGATAGAATTTCTTTATTATATTTCGTTTATAGAAAAATTTAATTCCACACTTCAGCATTTTATCACGAATATCTTGAAGGGACCAATAAATTTCTAAAATAATCAGTAATGGTCAATTCAAGATTGGAGGCTAAGGACCTTAACCATTCATATGGTCCATTGCTATGATTTGAAGTGAGGTAGAGAGATAGGAAACCTTTGATATTGGGTATTGAGGAGGCAATTAATTTTCAAGTTTGCTTGTTACAAAATCTTGGCAACATTTTGACACAAAGATGCTGCAATTTTACGCAACATTGAACATAAAGCCCTTTTCTTATTAATATAGTCCATATTGAGCACCTCATTTCGTCGGATTCTTAAAGCCGAGATGGACGTCAGTTTTTACTTGTTTTTACTTTTGGTTTTTATCCATAATTGCAATGCAACTGAGTCTTTGACCGAACGCCATCCAGGCGTGCAATTTACAGATAGTGGAGTTTTCTTTAACACGGATAATCACTAGAGGCACACATTTGTTTTTGATTTGAAACCAACAAAGGTAAGAAGTTTCCTTCAGAAACATAGATCTTGCACTAGCAAAAATCAAACCATACACCAAAATGCAATATGTTCTGCCTTTCAAACAAATATCCTTGATTATGAAATCCAAAGAAATCATATACTAAGAGAGATTAGGAAACAGGAACGTTTGACAAAAATTTTGCTAAGGCATAAAATTTCCGGGAGACGCACTGCGCGATCCCCTTTTGACTTTATATCAGACATTTCCCAATCATTATTTGGATTCGCTAAAGACTCAGATGTTCGCATTTTGACCAGCCACATTAATCATTTGGAAGAAATTGCCAATTCTTCAGCGGGAAACATATTTGAATTTAGGGAACAATTTAGTAGTTATGCGGTGAAAATGGACGCAAGATTTGAGAATTTAATGACAGGCATAAAATATAATTGTTCCCTGATTGGGTATATATTCGAAGTCCATTTGGTTACACCATCATTCATTACATCATTGTTCTGAAAGAAACATCCCAACATTTTTTTACAAATCATGAGTATGACAGGCAAAGACATGAGAGTTCCTTTGGGGCACCACAATATTAAAGACTTACAAAAAATGCTACACAGTCACTTGGAAGCCGCCAGGTTAAACATGAGAAGAACAGAAGATGCATTCGACGGAGGTTACCTATCTAGCTCAGATGCAAGGTGTTCATATTATGTTGCTGAGGCAAGTAGTCTCAGATCCACTCTATACCTGCAAATTCTGCAGCAAGCAGCTAAGGGCCTGTTGAGCCAAGTTCATCTGGAGGAAGATGCCCAGTTTGGGAATTTGAGTCTAGGAGACTATGATGAGGATATGGTGGTCCCTTATGATAGAATGGAGCGGGACGCACTACGGGGGGAGCTGACTCAAGAAATAATGAAGGTAAGGGCATGTTTGGGGGAAATTGAAGTACTTCAATTTGAGGGCATCATAAATCTGGAATGTGCAAATGTGAGCTTCAATAAGCTCATAATTCGCGAGAACAAGATTTGGACCTTCCTACAACTGATTTCAATGACAAGCGATAAACTTGACCAGTAATTTATTCTTCTTGTGCATTCGCTCAACTCCATTTGCTTAAAAAGAAAAAGTCATTGGTCATATAGCAAGGGATAGAATTTCTTTATTATATTTCGTTTATAGAAAAATTTAATTCCACACTTCAGCATTTTATCACGAATATCTTGAAGGGACCAATAAATTTCTAAAATAATCAGTAATGGTCAATTCAAGATTGGAGGCTAAGAACCTTAACCATTCATATGGTCCATTGCCATTATTTGAAGTGAGGTAGAGAGATAGGAAACCTTTGATATTGGGTATTGAGGAGGCAATTAATTTTCAAGTTTGCTTGTTACAAAATCTTGGCAACATTTTGACACAAAGATGCTGCAATTTTACGCAACATTGAACATAAAGCCCTTTACTTATTAATATAGTCCATATTGAGCACCTCATTTCGTCGAATTCTTAAAGCCGAGATGGACGTCAGTTTTTACTTGTTTTTACTTTTGGTTTTTATCCATAATTGCAATGCAACTGAGTCTTTGACCGAACGCCATCCAGGCGTGCAATTTACAGATATTGGAGTTTTCTTAAACACGGATAATCACTGGAGGCACACATTTGTTTTTGATTTGAAACCAACAAAGGTAAGAAGTTTCCTTCAGAAACCTAGATCTTGCACTAGCAAAAATCAAACCATACACCAAAATGCAATATGATCTGCCTTTCAAACAAATATCCTTGATTATGAAATCCAAAGAAATCATATACTAAGAGAGATTATGAAACAGGAACGTTTGACAAAACTTTTGCTAAGGCATAAAACTTCCGGGAGATGCACTGCGCGATGCCCTTTTGACTTTATATCAGACATTTCCCAATCATTATTTGGATTCGCTAAAGACTCAGATGTTCGCATTTTGACAAACCACATTAATCATTTGGAAGAAATTGCCAATTCTTCAGCGGGAAACATATTTGAATTTAGGGAACAATTTAGTAGTTATGAGGTGAAAACGGACGCAAGATTTGAGAATTTAATGACAGGCATAAAATATAATTGTTCCCTGATTGGGTATATATTCAAAGTCCATTTGGTTACACCATCATTCATTACATCATTGTTCTGAAAGAAACATCCCAACATTTTTTTTACAAATCATGAGTATGACAGGCAAAGACATGAGAGTTCCTTTGGGGCACCACAATATTAAAGACTTACAAAAAATGCTACACAGTCACTTGGAAGCCGCCAGGTTAAACATGAGAAAAACAGAAGATGCATTCGACGGAGGTTACCTATCTAACTCAGATGCAAGGTGTTCATATTATGTTGCTGAGGCAAGTAGTCTCAGATCCACTCTATACCTGCAAATTCTGCAGCAAGCAGCTGAGTGCCTGTTGAGCCAAGTTCATCTGGAGGAAGACGCCCAGTTGGGGAACTTGAGTCTAGGAGACTATGATGAGGATATGGTGGTCCCTTATGATAGAATGGAGCGGGACGCACTACGGGGGGGGGGGGGGAGCTGACTCAAGAACTAATTAAGGTAAGGGCATGTTTGGGGGTAATTGAAGAACTTCAATTTGAGGGCATCATAAATCTGGAATGTGCAAATGTGAGCTTCAATAAGCTCATAATTCGCGAGAACAAGATTTGGACCTTCCTACAACTGATTCCAATGACAAGCGATAAACTTGACCAGTAATTTATTCTCCTTGTGCATTCGCTCAACTCCATTTGCTTATAAAGAAAAAGTCATTGGTCATATAGCAAGGGATAGAATTTCTTTATTATATTTCGTTTATAGAAAAATTTAATTCCACACTTCAGCATTTTATCACGAATATCTTGAAGGGACCAATAATTTTCTAAAATAATCAGTAATGGTCAATTCAAGATTGGAGGCTAAGGACCTTAACCATTCATATGGTCCATTGCTATGATTTGAAGTGAGGTAGAGAGATAGGAAACCTTTGATATTGGGTATTGAGGAGGCAATTAATTTTCAAGTTTGCTTGTTACAAAATCTTGGCAACATTTTGACACAAAGATGCTGCAATTTTACGCAACATTGAACATAAAGCCCTTTTCTTATTAATATAGTCCATATTGAGCACCTCATTTCGTCGGATTCTTAAAGCCGAGATGGACGTCAGTTTTTACTTGTTTTTACTTTTGGTTTTTATCCATAATTGCAATGCAACTGAGTCTTTGACCGAACGCCATCCAGGCGTGCAATTTACAGATAGTGGAGTTTTCTTTAACACGGATAATCACTAGAGGCACACATTTGTTTTTGATTTGAAACCAACAAAGGTAAGAAGTTTCCTTCAGAAACATAGATCTTGCACTAGCAAAAATCAAACCATTCACCAAAATGCAATATGTTCTGCCTTTCAAACAAATATCCTTGATTATGAAACCCAAAGAAATCATATACTAAGAGAGATTAGGAAACAGGAACGTTTGACAAAAATTTTGCTAAGGCATAAAATTTCCGGGAGACGCACTGCGCGATCCCCTTTTGACTTTATATCAGACATTTCCCAATCATTATTTGGATTCGCTAAAGACTCAGATGTTCGCATTTTGACCAGCCACATTAATCATTTGGAAGAAATTGCCAATTCTTCAGCGGGAAACATATTTGAATTTAGGGAACAATTTAGTAGTTATGCGGTGAAAATGGACGCAAGATTTGAGAATTTAATGACAGGCATAAAATATAATTGTTCCCTGATTGGGTATATATTCGAAGTCCATTTGGTTACACCATCATTCATTACATCATTGTTCTGAAAGAAACATCCCAACATTTTTTTACAAATCATGAGTATGACAGGCAAAGACATGAGAGTTCCTTTGGGGCACCACAATATTAAAGACTTACAAAAAATGCTACACAGTCACTTGGAAGCCGCAAGGTTAAACATGAGAAGAACAGAAGATGCATTCGACGGAGGTTACCTATCTAGCTCAGATGCAAGGTGTTCATATTATGTTGCTGAGGCAAGTAGTCTCAGATCCACTCTATACCTGCAAATTCTGCAGCAAGCAGCTAAGGGCCTGTTGAGCCAAGTTCATCTGGAGGAAGATGCCCAGTTTGGGAATTTGAGTCTAGGAGACTATGATGAGGATATGGTGGTCCCTTATGATAGAATGGAGCGGGACGCACTACGGGGGGAGCTGACTCAAGAAATAATGAAGGTAAGGGCATGTTTGGGGGAAATTGAAGTACTTCAATTTGAGGGCATCATAAATCTGGAATGTGCAAATGTGAGCTTCAATAAGCTCATAATTCGCGAGAACAAGATTTGGACCTTCCTACAACTGATTTCAATGACAAGCGATAAACTTGACCAGTAATTTATTCTCCTTGTGCATTCGCTCAACTCCATTTGCTTAAAAAGAAAAAGTCATTGGTCATATAGCAAGGGATAGAATTTCTTTATTATATTTCGTTTATAGAAAAATTTAATTCCACACTTCAGCATTTTATCACGAATATCTTGAAGGGACCAATAAATTTCTAAAATAATCAGTAATGGTCAATTCAAGATTGGAGGCTAAGAACCTTAACCATTCATATGGTCCATTGCCATTATTTGAAGTGAGGTAGAGAGATAGGAAACCTTTGATATTGGGTATTGAGGAGGCAATTAATTTTCAAGTTTGCTTGTTACAAAATCTTGGCAACATTTTGACACAAAGATGCTGCAATTTTACGCAACATTGAACATAAAGCCCTTTACTTATTAATATAGTCCATATTGAGCACCTCATTCCGTCGAATTCTTAAAGCCGAGATGGACGTCAGTTTTTACTTGTTTTTACTTTTGGTTTTTATCCATAATTGCAATGCAACTGAGTCTTTGACCGAACGCCATCCAGGCGTGCAATTTACAGATAGTGGAGTTTTCTTAAACACGGATAATCACTGGAGGCACACATTTGTTTTTGATTTGAAACCAACAAAGGTAAGAAGTTTCCTTCAGAAACCTAGATCTTGCACTAGCAAAAATCAAACCATACACCAAAATGCAATATGTTCTGCCTTTCAAACAAATATCCTTGATTATGAAATCCAAATAAATCATATACTAAGAGAGATTAGGAAACAGGAACGTTTGACAAAAAATTTGCTAAGGCATAAAACTTCCGGGAGACGCACTGCGCGGTCCCCTTTTGACTTTATATCAGACATTTCCCAATCATTATTTGGATTCGCTAAAGACTCAGATGTTCGCATTTTGACCAACCACATTAATCATTTGGAAGAAATTGCCAATTCTTCAGCGGGAAACATATTTGAATTTAGGGAACAATTTAGTAGTTATGCGGTGAAAATGGACGCAAGATTTGGGAATTTAATGACAGGCATAAAATATAATTGTTCCCTGATTGGGTATATATTCGAAGTCCATTTGGTTACACCATCATTCATTACATCATTGTTCTGAAAGAAACATCCCAACATTTTTTTACAAATCATGAGTATGACAGGCAAAGACATGAGAGTTCCTTTGGGGCACCACAATATTAAAGACTTACAAAAAATGCTACACAGTCACTTGGAAGCCGCCAGGTTAAACATGAGAAGAACAGAAGATGCATTCGACGGAGGTTACCTATCTAGCTCAGATGCAAGGTGTTCATATTATGTTGCTGAGGCAAGTAGTCTCAGATCCACTCTATACCTGCAAATTCTGCAGCAAGCAGCTAAGGGCCTGTTGAGCCAAGTTCATCTGGAGGAAGATGCCCAGTTTGGGAATTTGAGTCTAGGAGACTATGATGAGGATATGGTGGTCCCTTATGATAGAATGGAGCGGGACGCACTACGGGGGGAGCTGACTCAAGAACTAATGAAGGTAAGGGCATGTTTGGGGGAAATTGAAGTACTTCAATTTGAGGGCATCATAAATCTGGAATGTGCAAATGTGAGCTTCAATAAGCTCATAATTCGCGAGAACAAGATTTGGACCTTCCTACAACTGATTTCAATGACAAGCGATAAACTTGACCAGTAATTTATTCTCCTTGTGCATTCGCTCAACTCCATTTGCTTAAAAAGAAAAAGTCATTGGTCATATAGCAAGGGATAGAATTTCTTTATTATATTTCGTTTATAGAAAAATTTAATTCCACACTTCAGCATTTTATCACGAATATCTTGAAGGGACCAATAAATTTCTAAAATAATCAGTAATGGTCAATTCAAGATTGGAGGCTAAGGACCTTAACCATTCATATGGTCCATTGCTATGATTTGAAGTGAGGTAGAGAGATAGGAAACCTTTGATATTGGGTATTGAGGAGGCAATTAATTTTCAAGTTTGCTTGTTACAAAATCTTGGCAACATTTTGACACAAAGATGCTGCAATTTTACGCAACATTGAACATAAAGCCCTTTACTTATTAATATAGTCCATATTGAGCACCTCATTTCGTCGAATTCTTAAAGCCGAGATGGACGTCAGTTTTTACTTGTTTTTACTTTTGGTTTTTATCCATAATTGCAATGCAACTGAGTCTTTGACCGAACGCCATCCAGGCGTGCAATTTACAGATAGTGGAGTTTTCTTAAACACGGATAATCACTGGAGGCACACATTTGTTTTTGATTTGAAACCAACAAAGGTAAGAAGTTTCCTTCAGAAACCTAGATCTTGCACTAGCAAAAATCAAACCATACACCAAAATGCAATATGTTCTGCCTTTCAAACAAATATCCTTGATTATGAAATCCAAAGAAATCATATACTAAGAGAGATTAGGAAACCGGAACGTTTGACAAAAATTTTGCTAAGGCATAAAACTTCCGGGAGACGCACTGCGCGGTCCCCTTTTGACCTTATATCAGATATTTCCCAATCATTATTTGGATTCGCTAAAGACTCAGATGTTCGCATTTTGACCAACCACATTAATCATTTGAAAGAAATTGCCAATTCCTCAGCGGGAAACATATTTGAATTTAGGGAACAATTTAGTAGTTATGCGGTGAAATTGGACGCAAGATTTGGGAATTTAATGACAGGCATAAAATATAATTGTTCCCTGATTGGGTATATATTCGAAGTCCATTTGGTTACACCATCATTCATTACATCATTGTTCTGAAAGAAACATCCCAACATTTTTTTACAAATCATGAGTATGACAGGCAAAGACATGAGAGTTCCTTTGGGGCACCACAATATTAAAGACTTACAAAAAATGCTACACAGTCACTTGGAAGCCGCCAGGTTAAACATGAGAAGAACAGAAGATGCATTCGACGGAGGTTACCTATCAAGCTCAGATGCAAGGTGTTCATATTATGTTGCTGAGGCAAGTAGTCTCAGATCCACTCTATACCTGCAAATTCTGCAGCAAGCAGCTGAGGGCCTGTTGAGCCAAGTTCATCTGGAGGAAGACGCCCAGTTGGGGAACTTGAGTCTAGGAGACTATGATGAGGATATGGTGGTCCCTTATGATAGAATGGAGCGGGACGCACTACGGGGGGAGCTGACTCAAGAACTAATGAAGGTAAGGGCATGTTTGGGGGAAATTGAAGAACTTCAATTTGAGGGCATCATAAATCTGGAATGTGCAAATGTGAGCTTCAATAAGCTCATAATTCGCGAGAACAAGATTTGGACCTTCCTACAACTGATTTCAATGACAAGCGATAAACTTGACCAGTGATTTATTCTCCTTGTGCATTCGCTCAACTCCATTTGCTTAAAAAGAAAAAGTCATTGGTCATATAGCAAGGGATAGAATTTCTTTATTATATTTCGTTTATAGAAAAATTTAATTCCACACTTCAGCATTTTATCACGAATATCTTGAAGGGACCAATAAATTTCTAAAATAATCAGTAATGGTCAATTAAAGATTGGAGGCTAAGGACCTTAACCATTCATATGGTCCATTGTCATGATTTGAAGTGAGGTAGAGAGATAGGAAACGTTTGATATTGGGTATTGAGGAGGCAATTAATTTTCAAGTTTGCTTGTTACAAAATCTTGGCAACATTTTGACACAAAGATGCTGCAACTTTACGCAACATTGAACATAAAGCACTTTACTTATTAATATAGTCCATATTGAGCACCTCATTTCGTCGAATTCTTAAACCCAAGATGGACGTCAGTTTTTACTTGTTTTTACTTTTGGTTTTTATCCATAATTGCAATGCAACTGAGTCTTTGACCGAACGCCATCCAGGCGTGCAATTTACAGATATTGGATTTTTATTAAACACAGATAATCACTGGAGGCAATTTTTGGCATATCGCCCCTTTTGATTGCGGTTATAGCGTTCGTTGTTGTTTTTTTTTGGTTGAGTCTACTGACGTAGAAAGTGAATAAAAATGATGTTCGCTTAATCACTCATGGCACCATGCTAGGATCGGCATCATCGACAAGTATTGGTATTGTCGCACCATATTCGGAATGGCCAAGTTTTATTATGTGTATTATAATCTTATATGTAAGTTTGAAATTATTTAAGTTTCTTTTTAAATGCTCAAAGAAAATGTTGTTGAGCAAACTTAAATCTAGGACTAATGGAAAGGAACCTCTTATTAACCCCCCTGCAAATGTTGAACCAGTAGATGATTGCATTGGCCATGAAGGTTCAAATCTATCTATACACACACTTTAATTGCCTTAATGTACTTTCTACCTTTTCTCCTAGTGAAATTCTTAATTTCACTTTAGATAAGTGGGGGGAGAATGTGGAATGTAGTATGTATATATGTTTTATGTATGTAGATGAAATGTGAATGGATAGGGTGTATTCAGACAGTGTATGGAAAAGCGTGTATTATGATGTATAAACCATATAATGTATATAGTATAGTATTAGAAATGGATTTTTCTTCTTTTAAAAGAAAAATCATTTACACAAGTGTCCTATTTAATGATTCAACATGACAATTTATTTTTGTAAAGTAAAACAGGAGTAATTGTTGAATTCAAACAAAATGTTCTAATGATGTAAATTGCTGAGTTGTAAAACTTTTAAGTGGAGTCCACTTATCACCACTACTCCACTAGAGTAATAGATATAATTAAATAGGCAATATAGTTAAGGTGTATGACATTGTAAAGTGCCAGTAGACATCAACTTGAAAACTTTATACTTGTACTTTTTGTTCATAAAAATAAAAGTACTAACAGAAACCCGACGGACAATTTTTTAGTAAACAAATTAAACAAGACGGAATATTTGAGAGCCACATATTAGATGTTGCGAAAATTTTGGGTACAAGAACAAAATAAAATTCAAAAGAGGGACAAGCTCCTTAACACATTGCCACTGCAATATTCTATGAATAAATTAAGATAATTATATTTTTTTCACTTGCAACCATCTGACAAACAATAAACCAATGAGCTGCACTCCACAGTGACAAAACTTAAGTGGAACCTAAAATAAACCTTATGGCCCGATCGCTATATTAGATCTAGGCATAAAGGAATATAAAAAGTGCAAGCCAAATACATTTTTAGTTCAGGTTGAAAAGTAGAAAAAAATAATTCATATATAGAAAGTTATGTTTGGGCAGTAAGAAACAGTGTAAAAAAGAGGTTGTCAGTTAATTTCCTCATTCGTTCAGAAATAATTTTGCTATTTGGTCATAAAAAAGGAAAACAGCTGTTATGTCCTCTTTACATTTCGTCAGTTCCTGTACGTGTCAACTGCGTACTAATACTGTTTACTAGTGCCGAAAGAAGATACCTACAACAACAACGCATATATTCTGTGACCAATACAAGGCACATGAAAACTAAGGACTTTAAAATACTATATGGCACAAGGGTTCTGTTAGTTGAGTTTAATTCCAAAAAGCAAGATATCTATAATACATTGAATCTACATTTCTACATTCTTTTGAAACCTAATATTTTTTAGGTTAACTTTGTTGAGAAAATATTGATGGCACTAAATTTTTGTGACTTTGTAAAAAAATAAATATATTATATAAGAATAAACGAATGCGTTTCCAAAGCACCTCATACCCCTAGATTAACCATACCAATATTTCCCTTTCCTATGCGGCTCGCAGGGGCTCACCATAGCGAAGTGGGGAGTATTGTTGTGTCATAAAAGAACAACTTGTATTTTTACATCATATTTTATTAGTCAAGTTATATGATAGCACATTTGCTCCCATATTCTACATTCGCTGATACGTCTACGTGTGATCAAAGAGTAATAAAACCATAAAACTACCCATTGTAAAGACTTATCAGTTAATATAGATAACAACCCAGGTGCTGAGGGGCGTAAGTCAGTCTGAGAATGAAGCTTAAGTAAGAAACACAATTAATGTTTTCTGTTCAGTTTGTTAGCCAAATCATGCTAATTACCGACTCTGATACTTATTAGTACCAATCCACAAATCCTCTCAAAGCCAAGCACAACATAGACGTAAAAACCACCTTGGCACCCCAGTAAAAAGGACTGAATATATACAGCTGGAAACAGCAGCACCATCCCCTACTCTTGACACCCAAAGCCTTTCTGACCTTTTGCCCGAATTCGGATAAGCTTGTGTGAATTGAGTTTGTATGAATTTTTGAATTAGGATGTTTGAAATGTTAGTCGGTAATAATGAATGATGCAACGTGCATGTATTAAGCATGTTAATGGAGTATATGTGTCATTGTATAATAAATCAGATTGGTCTTCTTCTTGTATTTTGTGGTAAAAAATAATTCAACGATTGTTTACGGCATTTATTATAGGACATTAGATTTGTTATGAAGACGTCTTCACAAAAGCTTGGACATAAATTAGTTTTATGTTATGTCCTTATATTGGAGTCGAGTGTAATTTATATATAAATTGTTAAGAGACCCTATGTATATTTTTATAGTGTAGTTCTGATGACACAAGCATTTCAAACTATTAAGAGATGAACATAATGTAATATTTAAGCTAATACCAAAAAGAACACATTGTAAAGTGCCGATAAGATTTTTGAACTGAAAATTAGAGAACATAAACCTTTTGTACATAACAGAACCCGTTGGACAATTATAGTATACAGTTCAAAAATAATAAAGAGTACAGAGAAAACTACACATCAGCCACAGACCTATTAAAAAAATGAATGGAATTTTTTGAGGTAAAAGCCTTTTTGTCACTTTAACTGCTGCGTTGCTACAATAACTAAGGATGTAAATTACTCCCAATCCTGTATGAAAAACAAATAAGACAGAATAAGGTTAAAGTCAAAGAATTAGGTTAAACAATTATATTGCCCTTATGGCCTGATCGCTATATAGATCAAAGGCATTTCGGTAAATAATCAAGAAAACCTAAGCTTACATTACAGTTCATTTTCGGGAGGTAATAAAAACATAAAAAAGGTTTAGTTTTTTACTCAGTAAGAAACCTTTTTGCAGTATCATGAAGGGCACGAAAAGAGCTTATTTTTTCCCTCATTATAAACTATGTCTATTTTTATTTATACTTGATATCATGACTGTTACTAGTACCAATAACACCCAGGAAGAAGACTACAACTACAATACGTATATTTTCCCAGTTACTAGTTGGTTGGACATTTTTGTTTGTAAAAAAAATCATCAGGGCACAAGGGTCTGTTATCCATGTTTTTATGAGAAACCCATGGGGTGTTTTTGTTATTTAATTGGTAATTATTACTGATTTAGATTTAGACTTCAATTTGGAAATGATAATAAAAATAATTGTGTTTTAATCAAAGTATAATGCCTTCCGTTTGCTAAACGATCACGAGTTTTTCGGAATTTGTTACACTTACGTTACACACTTATCACTTATTAGATTAACCACTTAATTAATTGATGATGTCATACACCGCTTTTTGATTTTTTTCAAATGGCGGCCATCTTTAACGGCTACGGATATACTTGTTAACCATTTGGCAAATGTAGAAAGCTTACAAACAGGCCAGAATGACAATACCAACTAACCAGGGACAAAAACACTAAATACTTTATATAGTAATTAATAAAAAAAAGGCCATGGACTTTGACTGGCCATTCAGAATGACAACCAAAATGATTCATTCACTTTTCACTTTTGCTGTGAACCATCAAAACTACCTCATGTTTCTCCCCAGGAATCTCAAACAAATGCGTGGGGAAGCATGTCTATAATCGCTTTGAAGCAATAAAAACTCTTATGGAAAACTGATAATTACAAATCATATTGCCTCGAGTGTATATTCACTTACCTACATGTGTTTCCTCCTTTATATTAGTATAAGAAGGAAGCAGAGAGCAGCGCATTGTATTTCCAATCCTAATACCAGAAAGGAAATAAAGAGTTTGTCTATTCAGTTGGAGGTGAAGAATAAAGGCGTACCTTGCTGTATGTTTGGGCCTGGGGTGGTGTCTTCAATGAATATATGCATCGTTAAGGCTGTAGCTTTATAAACAAACAGCATGTACCTCATTTCTGAAATGTAAATAATGCATTTTCACAGTAATACGTAAATTTTTATGGTCGTAGATTTATGTTTTTCAATATTGTATTGTCTAAGGTTATTCTTTCCATAAATACATTTTTGAAAAAATGCTGTTTGGAAAGAATAACCTTAACACAAAATATACGATATACATATATAAAGTTTAGAACATAAATAAATGACAGGTGGATTTTCTTTTACCATTTCCTAACCATGGTCGTCTGAAATCCCATAATTTCCGATATTATCTAGATATATATCCCTAAAAGGACCGTGAGTTGTTTGTAGAATGAACATGGGGAATTTTCTCATTCATTTCGCTTGTGTTTTTCATCTAAAAAACATCAATACACTTTAAAACATTTTATTCTAAGATTGCACCATATAATCTTGAAAAATATTTCTTATTTCAAGTATTATCTATGGATTACCACCCAGGTATTGTTATTTTTTCAAGCTTCAGAGGGCTTGTAATCGTTATTACGATCACTTTTGAAAAATATTAATGCTGTTTTAAGCATGTATTCCAATAATTCTCAAATTGTGTAAAGGGTACCTCTTCCTTAATCCCAAGAATTTTCTCTTTGAGGAATTTCCCATAGTAATCCAATAGTATAGTTCCAAGCAGATTTTGAGATAAAAGGAAAATTAATCATTA